AGACCGGAGAACCTCAAGAGAGAGCGAGTGATCGGGCAGGTATCGTAGTTTGTTACCGATAGTCTAGGACATATGACATTCCAGGGTCGGGTTTGGGTACCGTTTGTGGGCGGGACGCGTACCGTCTTGATGGAGGAGGCGTATAGATCGAAGTTCTCGATCCACTCTGGGGCCACTAAGATGTATTTGGACCTAAAGAAGGAGTATTGGTGGCCCTGTATGAATAGGGATGTTGCATGGTTCGTAGAGAGGTGCTTAACCTATCGCAAGGTTAAGGCCGAGCACCAGCGTCCTCATGGTAAGTTGCAGCCGTTAGGGATTCCCGAGTGGAAGTGGGAACATATCACTATCGATTTTATCACCAAATTGCCAAGGACTGCTAGGGGTGTTGATGTCATTTGGGTGATCATGGACAGGTTGAAAAAGTGCGCTCACTTTCTAGCTATCAGTGAGAGCTATTCTGCTGAGAGGTTGGCAGAGTTGTACGTGAGGGAGGTGGTATCGCGGTATGGAGTTCCGATCTCGATTGTTTCAGACCGAGATGTGCGTTTTACTTCCAGATTTTGGAAGAAGTCTCACGAGGAGTTGGGTACGAGGCTGCATTTCAGTACCGCATACCACCCACGGACCGACGGGCAGAGCGAGCGGACGATTCAGACGCTCGAGGACATGCTTCGGGCATGTGTATTGGATTAGCCCTTTAGGTTGCAACTCCTTCTAAGACTACTAGTATTGGCAAGAGGGATGAACCTGATTGACCGATCCCATTCCGACCTCGATATGTGGAATCGTCTTGCGCCATATGTACTGAGATTGTTCGGGAGACATGGTCCATCTTTCGTCTATGAGGAATAAATAAAATTGAAGAACCCGCGGATATGTGCAAAACTTTCATTCTTCGTCTCCATTTTAGTGAAACTCTTCCTCAAGCAAGGCAGCCGATAAGTCATCGAAGGCTTTGTGTGAATAATGTAATAGTCAGCATTACTTCTTTTCAAGTTTCCCAAGGTGATTTCATATCTTTGAAAGAAAATGATGCTCTAATCTATTCAGAAATAAGGAGATCCTTCTATATCGAAATTTCAGTTTCTAAAATCATAGGAAAATTCCTGGATAGCCCGGTAAGAATGTGGAGAATAAGTATAGTGTCGAACAAGTAGGTGTAACTGTTGAGTTCTACGGTGGTGAACTCAATGGAGTCAGTTATAGTGATCCTGTTACTGTGAAAAAATATGCTAGACGCGCTCAATTGGGGGAAATTTTTGAATTAGATCGTGCTACTTTGAAATCCGATGGTGTTTTTCGTAGCAGTCCGAGGGGTTGGTTTAATATCTTTAGTTTACTAGAGACATCGACATATTATTTTAGCTCGGTGGAAATAAAATCCTTTTCCTTAGGACCCTCTCAAATAGAAATAAAGAACGAAGTAACTAGAAAGATTGTTAGAATTGCCTTCTTCTAGAGGGATCATCTATAAAGCGAGTCGTTTTGAATTAAATATATTCAAACAAAAAGCTGACATAGATGTTATGGGTATCATTTTTTTTTGTAAGTTGGTGGAGGTTGGGACACGTATTTTCCCTTGGCTGAATTTTCCTATAACAACAGCCATCACTCGAGCATTGGTATGCCACCTTTTGAGCTGTTGTATGGAAGGAGGTGTCGTACCCCCATTTGCTGGGGTGAGGTAGGGCAGCGTGTGATGGATAGTACGGAGATAGTGCTTCAGACGACAGAGCAGATACGGCAGGTCAGGCAGAGGTTATTGACCGCTCAGAGTCGCCAGAAGAGTTACGCGGATAAGCGACGATCCGAACTCGAATTTCAAGTCAGTGATTTCGTGCTCCTGAAGGTATCTCCTTGGAAAGGAGTGATCTGATTCAGGAACAGGGGCAAGCTGGGACCCCGGTTTATTGGGGCGTTTAGAGTAATCGCGAGGGTGGGAAAGGTAGCGTATCGCTTGGAGCTACCTATGTAGTTGGACCAGATTCATGATACCTTCCACGGGTCGCAGCTGAGGAAGTGTATTGCCGATGAGTCGGTAGTGGTACCATTAGAGGATATCCAGGTGGACGCAAGTCTGAATTATGATGAGAAGCCGATCGTAATCTTGGATCGGAGAATCAAGGTTCTAAGGAACAAGGAAGCTCCCCTGGTTCAGGTTCGGTGTCAACATCGGAGAGGGCTGAGCTGACCTAGGAGCCAGAGTCATATATGCAGGAGCACCATTTGGAGTTGTTCATAGCATGATACTTCGAGGGCGAAGTCTGGTTCTAGTGGGGGAGAATTGTAACAGCCCGAAATCCAGGTTAGCTTTATGACCCTTTGATTTTGGAGAGTTGGCAAATTAGTCCCTTAAAGTTGAAAAGTGGATTGGTGAGTACGCTGGGAGTACTGGGGTGTACGTCGTGCGTACTCGTGCGCTTAATTTGTACGCGGGTCATCCGGGTATGCTAGGCGTAGCCAAGGTTATGCCGGGTGTAACCGGCCCAGATGCAAAACCCTAATTCTTGGCTTTTGCACTATAAAAGGATCATGTAGTCCTTTGCCCTAGCCACCATATTCCCTTGAGTGAGTCCTTAGAGAGCTGAGATTTGTGTTTGAGCTTGTGTGTGTGTGTGTTTGAGCTTGAAGTTATCTTTTCAAGGTGAAGAAGGAGAAGAAGGAGCCATTGTTGGAGCTAGAAGTTGAAGAACAAGTGTAGATCCGAGTTCTATAGTGGTTGGAGATCCTTTCTGAGGTAAAAAGCTCAAAGCTTTCCTTATTTTTCATAAGTTTTGCTTTTTGGACCATTTTTAGGGTTTTTGGTTCAAAGTTGGAGACTTTATGTGCAAAGAGTCTCCATAAGCTTAGATCTGACCTTTTCTAGTGTATAATGTGTTGAGGAGTCATAGAAATCTAGTCTTGGATGTGGATCTTGTGTCATGCATGAATTATAGTCTCATTATGGAAAGAGGAAAGGTGTTTTGAGCACAAAGTGACCTTTACAGCCATGCAAAGGCTAAAAGGTTTCAACTTTATCGATTAAGACATATTAGAGGAGTCAGATATGAAGTTTGGATGTAAGTCTTAACCGTTTAAGACTTGAATGTGTTGGATAAAGAAACTGGGCATTACGTTGGGCGTAATCCCAGTACGCGTCGCGTAAGGGATCGCGTACCCCGTTTTTGGAGTGCAAGAGTACGCCCCACGTACAGGAGCTGGTACGCCCCACGTACTGCTTACTGTTGACTTTTGTTGACTTTTAGGGTTTTAGTCAACATGTGGACTTTTGGGTCAAGGAGGGGTAAAATGGTCTTTTACCCTTCTGTGGAATTTTAGAAAGGAATATAGTATATCCTTGAGATCCGTTAATGATTTGGAATAATTACTTGATGTGATTAGGCGAAGCTAGGTCGTTGTTGCGAGATTCAGATATATCGAGCACGTGAGACACTAGACATCATACGAGGTGAGTCTTCTCACTATATTGTACCTGGAAGGGTACCTATGTGTGACCGAAAGGTCTGGTATGCTATAAGATATATGCATTGTATGTTATTAGTTGCCTGTATTGTATGTGTTATGTATGCTATGCTTGATATGGGCCGGAAGGCATTATGTTATGGGTCGGAAGGCATTATGATGTAGACCGGAAGGTTGTGAAGTTATGGACTGGAAGGTCGACACGGGTAGGACCGAAAGGTTTACTGAGTTGGGACGGAAGTCCCCTGAGACACATGGACCGGAAGGTCATGGCCTGGAAGGGCGTATGTGTGTAAGTGGTATATTGGGGAACTCACTAAGCATTTATGCTTACAGCTGTTGTGTTATGTGTTTCGGGTACTAGCGAGGACCGTGGGAAGGCGCCGACATGACTCGTACACACACCCTTAGGCAGATTTAGATATAGTTGATCTTGGGATTTGACATGTTTTGTATTATGAGTACGTTACATTGGATTTTTATGGTTTGTTTTGAATGAAATTATGTTTTAAAGAAATGAAAAATTGTTTTGAAAAATTACGTTGTTACACAACTGGCTCCGTAACACCCTCAATCCGGCTTAATATTTCAAGAGGAGGAAGTAACTTCTCAGTCAAGCGGTTTCGGCTGAGAGAGTTAGAACCGAATCATAGGCATTGACTAGGTTGGAGAGAAGGGCGAAGACATCAGAAATGCAGTTTTTTGATGACAGTTCGCTCGGTCTTTAGTGAATCAATCTCCTTATTTGCATGATTCAGTTGAACGGACTGAACTTCAAGCAAAGTGGTTTTGCGAGCAAGTTCATCCATAATTTTGTTCTCCATGGAAAGATCAGCTTGAAGTTTGTCAAGGCAAGCGGTGATAGAGGACAGAAGAGAGGTTTGATTAGCTTGAAGAGTTGAGCGCACCAAATCAAAATTTTCTTTCTCAGCTTGAAGAGATTTGGAAAGCGAGTCAATGCTAGTGTTGACTTTGTTAATGTTGGTCTTTGCGGCGCCCTGAAGAGATTCCAGAAAAATCTTGGCATCTGAAATAAGACAAGCTACATCTTCTGTTGCTTTTTGACAAGACCGAGTAGAGGCATCTACTGCCTCGGTTGCCTTTTGGATGGATTCATCATGCTTTTTTATTGAAGTTTCAATCATGCCTTTGATAGCAATATCAGAATAAGCTGATTTGGAGGAAGAGGAAGATGAAGCGAGCAGCTTTTCAAGTTTTTCATTCAGATTTTTTTAAGTGACGCTTTGTAACGGGAGCATCTTCATCATCGTCACTTGGAGCTCGATAAGAGTTGTAGTAACAAGACTCAAATTTGACATCTTCTCCACCAAGAACTGGAAAAGATTCTGTGGAAGGAGATGGATAAATGGGTTTGGAAGTAACAGGGGTTTCGGTTCCTGGGGTAGGTGCCCCGTATCAGATACGTTGACACGAACCGGAGGTTCTGGTGTGGTTGTGGTTGTTGTCATAGTTGTTTGAGTGAAGATTAGTGGAGGAAGAGGTGCAGTGGAGGTAGGTTGATATGAAACAGGTGGTCAAAGGGGTGCAATGGAAATAGGTGTTGTAGTATGAGATGGAGTAGAAGGAGGAGGAATTGGAATTGAGTCATTTAGTGGTACCTCGAGAGATGGAGAATGTGGAGGTGTATCTCCTCTCGGTGATCCTTCAAGGTGAACATCATTACCTTTGGCTGATTTGCAGTGATCGTGATCAGAAGGAACGTAGTCTGAGTCACTAGGAGAAGTTGTCTTCGGTTTCTTCGCCATCTTTTTCACCTTTCGCTTCTTTCGTGGAGAAGTAGCAGCATGTTCAACCTTATGTTTTTTAGGCGTGGCAGCTTGGGAAGACTGGCCTTCTTTTTCTTGCTTCTTCGTATCCGGTTTCTTCCCCCTTTTAGCTAGTGTATCAACGGCATCCAGCGCGGTTTGCATCTCAGGAGTTAATTGTCTTGGTCCTGTGGGTGGGAGGTTTCGGTAGTCGGCCATAACCTTGCTTTCGGCTGAGACACACATGTACATCGATTTAGGAATGGACCCAACGAACAGAAAATTGGTTGGATCAGGGACGGTGATCTTCGTTGTATGAAAAGTTGCAATCGATGATTTTAAGGCATCCGCCATGAATGGAACCTGAAAATGCTCCATTGTCCTTTGAGTGATCAAGGTCCAGAATCGTCCACAGGAGATTTCAGAATGTTTTGATGAGGAATTTAGATTTTGCACCAGTTGAGTCTTATTTAGTGTTGGATTAGTGTCTAAGTCCATAACTATTTTGGTATGTACTTGACCCGATGGTGCATGGTCCTTTTGGGTTGCCTTCACCAAAGCAACTTGATTGGAGAAATAAATACAGAGAGAGGTTATAATGATTTATTAATATGTTATAAGAATAATATATTAAAGGAGAAATCATATTTGTTTAATTAATATTGGTCAATAATTAATTAGGAATTAATTTTGTGATCAAGTGTAATTAATTAAACTAGAGGGGCTGAATTGTAATTATGTGATAGTTACAAAATAAGGTAAGGATTATCCTAAGTATAGGATGGACGAATTTAAGGTGATAATGCCTTAGAATTCGACTATGATAAGGATTCAAGGATTATCTTATGGGTTGCTTGGTAAGCAAGCAACTAGATAAGGATAATGACTGAAACCCTATCTGTACACCTATATAAACCCCCTTGGCTCATGAATTCGTGTAAGACCTTCCCAAGGCTTCTTAGGGACGAATTCAATACATCCTCTCTCTTCTCATACCTTCTCCATTTGCTCTTGGTGTTTGTAAGCCATTAGAGGAGTGACAATTGTGACTCTAAGCCTTCCAAACTCAATTCAAGGAGATTTGGGATTGTTATTGCTACATAACAATCAAGGTAACATTATAAACTTATTCTTATTGCTAATATTATTATTTGAATGCTAGAATTAGGGTTTATAGTCTTGGATAACTTGCATGTACAATAGAGAAACCTAGATCCAAGCTTTAGGGTTTGTATGAGCACATAGGATGTTCTTAGGACCAAAACCCATCAGTGGTATCAGAGCCTAGCTTGGTTTCAATTGTATTGATGCATTGTATAACTGGAAAAATCGTTTTTTGGTGTTTTGGAGGCTGGACTCGTCGAGTCCATAGCTGAACTCGCCGAGTCCATGCATACTCGACGAGTCAGCTCGTCAGAAGGAGGGAATCTCGGGTTTTCTTGCTGTTTTTGCTTATGGATAGTTACCTTATCATGTTAGATCAATATTAATCCGATTATATGATACATTTGACTATAATTTTGATCTAATTGAAGATATTTATCAATTAATAAGACAATTGTTTCCTTATATGATAATTGATTAATTATTTTGAGTAAATTGATAAATTGTTTTGCAAGAAATCATTAAATAAATCAAATATGGATAATTATGTGATTAAAGGTTAATTTGAATTATTTGTTATTTGATCCTTGAAAAGTTTCATATTTTCCCCTTTAGGTTTTATAGTTTAAATTTGAACCCAAAAGTTTTGAAGTTTTGAAATTTAAATAGTTAAAACCCTAATGTTTTGAAAAAGGTTTCAAACCTTGCCCTCAAGTTTTGGAATTTAAATTTTGATTAATTGTTTAATTGTGAGGTGTATTTTACACTTTTACTACTTATGATTAAGAACCATATCTCAAAACTATTAATCATATCCATTTATTGAAAAAAATATTCAAACATCAATTTTCATAACGATTTCATTGCACGGAAGTAAACAAATAAATAAGTCAAACCAAAATTTATTTTATTTATAAAAGCACCGGAAAACATTTTTCCTTACAATGCAAAATCCATTGAAAACTATGTATAACTATCTAAGCCCAAAATCTAATCTTCAAGGAGATTTGGGATTCTATTATAACTATCTAAGCCCAAAATCTAATCTTCAAGTCCATGCGATCAAGATCCATTTCTTGTGATTAGATTCATCTTGCTCTTTCACCAAGCTTCCTTTCTTTTCACCGATCCTGCAAAACATTCAAATGCAATCTTATCACATCATGTATTTGAATCAATGAATAGGAACTTAACGAAATTAGATAGTGGATTTTACCTGAAGCGCAATCATACTCTTTGACTCTCCCATCTTTGGAATTTTTAGGCTCTTGGGGCATACTTCTATCCAACGCCCTTTCTCTTGGCAGCAAACGCAGGTCGCTTCTCTTAGAACGTCCTCGGAAGCATGGTCAGTTGACTTTCCCAAAAAATATGCTCCATTGCTTCGCCAAATCATTTCTGATTCAGCAGCAATGAGCATGTAAGTTAGATCAATGAGGTTGTCGTCATGATCCATCATATAATACTTTCTTTTGAACTCATCATATGATTCAGGGAGTGATTGTAGAACCCAGTTCACAGCCAACTCATCGGGAAATGAAACACCCAACATAATCAACCTATCGATGTGTGATTTCATTCCTAGAATGTGGGCACACACAGATTTACCATCTTCATGTTTCATTTCTAATAGGGCCTTAGTGATATTTAACCTTTCAATTCTTCGATCTTGTGGGTTAGGGAGAATAATTGGAGGAGGTGGAGGAAGTGAAGCATGATTTCTTGTTCCTCGATCGATTCGTGGACTACCATCTTCATGTGGAATGCTTGTTCCACGGGATTCGGGAAGACCATAGTTGTCAAACTTTGACATCTACAAAACGGGAGAAAATGAATTCAAGTTAGTTGATTGATTGAGTCCTTAGTAAATCACCCAAATGAAATACTAAGGCTAGGACCCAACACAATATTCCACAACTCGGGAGAGGGATGTTGTAACCCTAATTGCAGAATATTTGAAGGTAAGTGAATGACAATTCACTAATTTCCACCACAAAAAACGAAAAGAAATTTAAGTTTTAAATCTATGAAAACTCCTAGATCCTTTGAGATTTGTTGAACATTTCAATGGCATGTTTAAATCTCGATATGCCCCTCTTGTTTATGAATGGGATGTCGAGGATCACAAAGCGGGTGTGAATAACCATGCAAACTTACATGGTGCCCTCACATGTTACAGTCACCTATTCGATGTGCCGGTAAACCACACACGCTCCACCGAACTATGACAAACATTGAGTCACCCTTTGTTACCTTTGCTTAGAACCATTTAGTGTGTCGGTAAACCAAACAGGCTCCACTAACGTCTTCGTAATGGCACAAAGTGTAATTTCATGGAATTGCATCAATTCACTTTTGCCTAAGTAACTAAGATTGGGAATTTGAAAAACATTTAGTTACCTTGTATTTCATTATACTTATAATGGAAGGTTTCTTCCTATCCTACCCGTTCGGCTAATGACCCTCCACTAGTCAAGAGTGCGGTGGGTAAGAGTGGATACCCATTCAATCGCCATTTTATAGGCAATTTCCTTAAACACCCCTTATAGACCAGCTTCGTGAATGAGTCCTACTAACGGTAAGACTGACTTTTACTCATACATACATATATATATATATATATATATATATATATATATATACAATGTTAGATTTTTAATGTTATATATATATATATATATATATATATATATATATATATATATAGTATAGGGTGTATTTTACACTTTTAAAATACTAGGTGATCAAATTTAACAATTATACTTTTAATTCAATTAAATTGTAAACCTAAACTTTTATGGATTTATTAAACTTCTTTTAATTATACACCTTAATTAATTAATAAAACCATAAGGGTGTGATTTGAACTTTTCAAAATGTTACTAGGGTTTTAGAATTTAACATTTCTAATTAAACTTTTAATCAACTTTTAAATTCCAAAACTTGAGGGAAAGTTTTGAAACATTTCAAAACATCAGGGTTTAGAATTTAAATATATATCACAATTAAACTATTAATCAAAATTTAAATTCCAAAACTTGAGGGCAAATTTTGAAACCTTTTTCAAAACGTTAGGGTTTCAACTATTTAAATTTCAAAACAACAAAACTTTTGGGTTCAAATTTAAACTATAAAACCTAAAGGGGTAAATATGAAACTTTTCATAACAACAAGGATCAAATAACAAATAATTCAAATTAACATTTAATCATATAATTATCCATATTTGATTTATTTAATGATTTCTTGCAAAACAATTTATCAATTTACTCAAAATAATTAATCAATTATCACATAAGGAAACAATTATCTTATTAATTGATAAATATCTTCAATTAGATCAAAATTATAGTCAAATATATCATATAATCAGATTAATATTGATCTAACATGATAAGGTAACTATCCATAAGCAAAAACAGCAAGAAAAATCGAGATACCCTCCATCTAACGAGTTGACTCGTCGAGTCAGGCTTGGACTCGTCGAGTCTGTATGGACTCGGCGAGTCCAGCCTCCAAAACACCAAAAAACGAATTTTTTGAACATGTAATGCATTAGTACAATTGAAACCAAGCTAGGCTCTGATACCACTGATGGGTTTTGGTCCTAAGAACATCCTATGTGCTCATACAAACCCTAAAGCTTGGATCTAGGTTTCTTTATTGTACATGCAAGTTATCCAAGACTATATACCCTAATTCTAGCATTCAAATAATCATATTAACATGAGAATAAGTTTATAATGTTACCTTGATTGTTATGTAGCAATAACAATCCCAAATCTCCTTGAATTGACTTTGAAAGGCTTAGAGTCACAAATATCACTCCTCTAATGGTTCACAAACACCATAAGCAAGAGGATGAAGAGGAGAGAGGATGGAGGCTGCCCAAAAACGTGTGAAACCCTAAAAAGATCATTAGCCACGTTTTTGGGTCATAAGGGTCTTATATATAGTAAGGCTATTAGGGTTATCTAACAAGGAAACCCTAAATTGGATGCTTAAGCCCTAAGCAACCCATGGAGCCCTTTCCTCAAGGCCTTGGACGATTTCATATGGGCTTCCCCATAGAATTCGTCCACCTTATCATATAAGGCAATCCATGGCCTGAATTATAATTATCTTATAATTACAATTCCAGTCCCTTAAGTTTATTTAATCTCTTTTAGTCACAAAACTAATTACTAATTAATTATTGACTAATATTAATTAAACAATATGATTTCTCCTTTAATATATTATTCTCATAATACATTAATAAATCATATTTAATC